TTTTGGTTTTTCTCCGGTACCGGGAACCGAACTCACGACCTTGCGCTTGCCAGTCAGGCGCTTTTGCCGCTGAGCTAAATCCCCAGCCCCTACCATTAGTTTTGTATGTTTCAATAAACAAGTACATCAGCTATGAAACAACTGTCAACCAGTGAATGGAAGAGAATTGGGGAGGGAGGAATAATCAACGTCCAATATATGATTATTTAAATACAAATACATAAAATAGAGCTAGGGATGTAGTTCAGTAATAGAACCCTTGCATAGCATAAGTGAGGCCCTTGGATAAATCGCCAGCACACAAAACAAATTAATGAAGCTACTTTCATTCCACATAATCAAGAGCTTTTCAGACAGAACAAAATAACACCTAGAACATAACAGAAACTTTGATACTCAGATATGTGATATGTGATGACTGAATTTTTTTCCTCAACAGGTGAATCATGTTCATCTAACTTATAAGAATCAAGGATTAGGAAAACAATTCTACACATTAAAAAAAGAAGGAAATATATCAGTAATATATACAAATGAGAAATATATCAGTGCTATCAGTAATATCAGTACCAGCTTCCTCTGTGTTCAAAAAGACACAAAATCTATTACAATAGGAAATGATATATGAAAAGCAAAAATTATTCCACTAAATGCATATAAACTCATTTTATAATATAATACAAAAATACCTCTAACAACAAAATAAAATACTTCAGCAATTAAATTTAGCACAATACCTCATTAAAGGTTACTCATGATTTAATGCTATTACAAGGCATGAGATTTATAATGTGAAATAACAAAGACATCTATAATATACTGACAAATATTTTTACTGTGTCAATTTTGTGTAAAAAGCTTGTTTTACTTTCTTTGTGAAAGCAGAATCATTGCTAGATTTTCAACACTGCATTCCACTTTTCCCTCCACGCATATTCTCAGCCCATCAAAATTTATGACTTATTTCCTGATCATTTAGCTTTTCTTCATTATGTCTATGCTATTATATTTCTACAATATAAATATGTTTATTGACAACTAAAGGCAATAATCAAAGTGTAAATTTTCTGGAGTTAATGTAGCCATTAAAAATGCAAATGAATTATTTAGCAATCATTTGAAAGATGAAAAACACAAAAGCAGGAGGATGCTGACTTAGATCCTACACAGTGAAATACTCAAGCCAGAGTCTCCTTAGGCACCTTCAAAAGATGAAGAAGCTCTAACACAAAACTGGCTTTCAAGAATGAACAGTCTTACCCCAGGTATAAAAGTAAATATGTTGTATTTCTGATTTTTTATTGAATTCCTGGGATGTTTCTCTTCACACTTCTCAGGACATCCAAGCCACACTGTGCGTGCTTTCAGTTCTTTCTTTCTTTGACAAATATTTAGCAACCAGTCACAGCAACTGCATGAAACAAAAAACAGATGTTGCATATTTTTTTAAGTGTGATTCTACATATTTAGAGCCAATGCTGACTGTTTAGCTATACATATTTATCATCACTAATGACATATCTAATAATAATCTGGGAGATTTTTCCTCAAATTGGTCAGTTATACAAATTTAAATGTGACAATAAAATAATGATGTCTTGGTTACTTTTCTCTCATTGCTGAAACAAAATACTCCACACCCAAAACTAAGGAATGAAAGGTTTATTTAGCTAAGTTTGTGGAGGTTTCAGTCCATACTCGGCTGGCTCCCAGGCAAGGTGGCATTGCACAAAGGCAACAGTTCAAGGCAGCAGAAGACAGCAAAAGCACTAAGAGCAAAAGGTGGGGAAGAAAGCCTCTTTTCTTCCCTTATATTATAAGCAGGCTATCCTGCCCCCAGGGCAGAAATAGCACTCACACCATCCCCATGCCATCCCCATACCCTCGTCTTCCACAGGATGAGGAAGTTTATAAAGTAAGGGCCCTGGCTCCCTACTGAGTCACTTAAACTTCTAAACTTCTCAAGTTGACACAATGTATCAACAATTACAAAAGTATTGTATAAAAGTGCAATGGCTTCTAAAACCCCATGGGAATTATCAGCTTTGTTGAGACACTTCATTGGCAAAATAAAACCATTCTGCAGCAGTTGATGCCCTTTACCAGTGACAGCAAAACCTTCAGAGATTTCAGTGATACAAACAACCCACTGGCGCATGTGCCATAAGTTTGCCACCACTGCCTATATCAAGAAAAGGTACAACTATGGATTACTGGTAATTCTCAATATACCTTAACTTAATGATTGGATAATAAATGTCTGTATATTTTAGTTAATCCAGGATGTGGCTTGTTTCTCTGAGGTAGTCAGTCATCTTTTACTACTTTTAAAAAGTGACTTTTCCACAGCATGATGATGCACACCTGTAGTCCCAGCACTTGGGAGGCTGATGTGGGACAACTGCCACAACTTTGAGCCCAACCTGGACTACACAGTGAGTTTAAGGTCAGTCTGAACTACATACCTCAGAAAATGATGAACAGGTATGAAATTCATCTCTATTAATCATGACTCTAATTAAATTAATCATGAATCTATCAAATTAATCATGAATCTAAACTTCAATATTAAAATTTTTTTTTAAAGAGAGTAGTACATGAGAAACAAACAAACAAAAAAATAGAACAGTAGCATACCAGTATCATGAACATAAACAAATCAAAGCAAGAACATTCAAAGTGATACTGGGTCTAAAGACAAAATAATACAAATCCACAGTGGTTGTTACATTACATACTGCTGTCCTCAAGTACATTGCTCAGATTATCAGATGTAAGAATGAAAGATTGCTCAAACCATTAAAGAGAATAAGAAAATAATTCTTCAATAGAACATTAGAGATAATACAGAGTTTCACTAGACAAGATGGTAGGAGTTCACCATTATAATTTTGTTGCATATTGTTACCTTTAAATCCGTTGCTCAGATCACCAGACACAAGCATGCAAAGTCGACCAGAACATAAAAAATTGTGAGCATGAACTGTTCATTTCAATATACCATCAGAAAACAGCAATACAGTCATAGTAGCTATTCATATATATATTTATGCTTTGCCTTCCTTCTTTTTTCTTCTTTCCCTCATCCCAGTTGTTCCTTTCCTTCAGCAATTTCTTTCCCCTTTTGATCATCTATTGAACGTTTTGAGTTTTACCTAGTCTTTCAGGTTCCTACACCAAGGAGACAATACGATGTTTACACATGTGGGTCCAATTTATTTCACTTATGAGTATGGTCTCTAGTTGCATCTATTTACCTACAAAAGTCTCGAGTATACTTTTTTTAATACCTCAGTAGTACTCCATTGTATGAAAATACCACAATTTTTTTATCCATTCCTCAGTGGATGGGCATCTGGGTTGTTTCCAAGATTTAGCTGTACCAAATTATGCTGCTATAAACATGGGTGCACATATGTCACTGTGGTATGATGTCTTTAATTCTTTGGGGAAAATACTCAGAAAGGGAATAGCTGGGTTAAATGGGATTTACAATCCTAGTTTTGTGAGGAATCTCCAAATTGACTTCCACAGCAGTTTCACCAATCTACACTTCCACCAGCAGTGGAGTAGGGTTCCTTTCTCCCGACAGCCTCTCCAGCATTTGTTATTGGTTGCTTTCTTGATGATAGCCATTCTTTCTGGGGTGAGATGGAATCTCAGTATTATTTTAATTTGCATTACTCACATGACTAAGGATGCTGAACATTTTTTCATGTATTTATTCACCATTAGTATCTCCTCATTAGAGAAGTGTGTATTCATCTCAGATGCCCACTTTTGGATTGGGTCTTTGAATTTGGGAGGCCTGATTTTTTTAAATTCTTTATATGACCTAGATAGAAGTCCTTTGTCTGAGGGGCAGTTGGCTAAAATTTTTTCTCAATTCATGGGTTTTCTATTTACTTCATTGGTGATTTCTTTAGATGTAGATAAACTTTTCAATAGGATGAGATTCCAGTTGTTGATTCTTTGAAATATTTCCCAGGTAGTTTGGTTTTTGTTCATGAACTCTCTGCTTACCCCAATGTAGTCAAGATTTTTACCTACTTTCTCTTCCAATAAATTTAGTGTTTCTGTTTTAATATTTAGATCTTTGATCCATTTTTACTTTAATCTAGTGCACGGTGAAAGACATGGGTCTAATTTTAGTCTTTGGCCTGTGGAGAGCCAGTTTTTCCAGCACCATTTATTAAAGAGGCTATCTTCCTTCCATTGAACATGTTTGGCCCCTTTGTCAAAGATAAGGTGACTGGGTGTGTTTGTAGATGTATCTGTGTCTTCTAATCTGTTCCACTGACCTTCAGGTCTGTTGTTGTGCCAGTACCATGCTGATTTTGTCACAGTAGCTTTGTAATATAATTTTAAGTCAGGAATGGTGATGCCTCCTGCCTTTCCTTTGTTTCCCAAGGTTGCTTTCACTATTCTAGGCCTCTTCTGGTTCCAGATGAACTTTAGGAGTGTTTTCTCTAGATCTGTGAGGTATACTAATGGTATTTTAATTGGGATTGCACTGAATCTGTACAACAATTTTGGGAGTATGGCCGTTTTCACAATGTTGGGTCTTCCTATCCACGAGCAAGGATATTTACTGATATCCTCTTTGATCTCTTTTATTCAGAGTACTATAATCTTCACTGTATAGATCTTTTACTTCTTCTGTGAGATTGCTTCCCAAGTATTTGATCTTTTTAGATGCTATTGTGAAAGGTGTGGTTTCCCTAATTTCTCTCTCAGTCTGTTTGGTACTTGTGTACAGGAATGCCACTGATTTATGAGTGTTAACTTTGTATCCAGCTATGCTACTGAATTTGATTATTAAATCCATGAGCCTTTTGGTGGAGTTTTTGGGGTCTTCTATGTAGAGTATCATGTCATCTGCGAATAATGACAATTTCACTTCTTCCTTTCTTATCCTTATTCTTTTTATTTCTCTCTCTTGTCTAATTGCTCTAGAAAATATTTCCAGAACTATATTGAATAGGAGTGGTGACAGTGGACATCCTTGTCTTGTTCCTGATTTTAAAGTGAAAGCTTTCATTTTGACCATTGAGTATGATGTTAGCTGTTGGTTTATCATAGATGGCTTTGATCAGCTAGAAGTAAAGGCCATCTATTCCTATTTTCT